ACTTGTCCAGCTATATCTAGTAGAGCTTAGATGAAGTGGACTTCTGCACCTAGATTTTCTGTCTAGTATGGAAGGAGAGAAAAATAGAAGATATTTTTCATGTATTTTTTTTACTGGTCTATAACCATAATAAAGATTGATTGTTGATTCATGCATTTGCTTGAGTTCCAGAAAAGGAGGATGTGGTTATGACCTTTAAAAAAATCTCTCTAACCTTTTTAAAAATTTCTCAAATCCCAAAATTTAACATCTTGACAAGATAATAGAATCTCAGACACATTCAGCAGATTCCTCTTAATTCTGTTTCTTTGCTTTCATTCTGTGGTAAGGAACATCATTAGACACAAAACAGTTATGGTTGACTAAGAGGAAGCAAACTAGATGGTTAACAATAATTAAAAAGTGGGAGAAGTATCCAGTCAATTAACCAAATAATCAGATTCTGTGAAGTTCAGAATAGTAAAACAGGAAAAACATTTAAGGAAAAGGAGGATCATTATTGCCCCCAAATTTTGCTTCACTTTGTATCTCTTCCTTGCTATCCATGTTTTTTTTTAAAAAAATGGGCATCTGGCATTTTTATCTGGTTTATTCAGTCTGATCTTTTATGTTTCCATTGGGACTGTTATGGGTTCTCATAACATCCTATGTAAAATGAGAATTTTTTGTACAGTACATTATAAGAAATCAAACAATGCCTTGAAGATTGCAGATATATAAAATATTAATGAAAATGTATAAGGTCAAAGCAATTAAGAATTCTGCAGAATGTATAGAGCCAGATGCAAAGACAATGGATGGGAAGGTAGAAAGTTCAGCAGAGGCAAACCATTTTAAGTTATACCCAAACTGATATCCAAAATGTTGGATGTTTAGTTGGTAGTTGCAATATGACCAGTTGCTGCTACCACGGGATCCTGAGAATCCCCATGTAGTTCAAACACAAGGGGAAGATTCTAAACTTGAGAAAGAAAGGTATCTTTTGCATACCTGTTAGAAACCCACTACTCAGTGGCATTGGTTGATCCTGCCAAAAGTGTAATGTTTTTAGAATAGCAAAGGTAGCATTTCCAGCTATTTCTGCCCATGTAATTGGATTAAATGCAAGTCCAGAAACATCTGCATTTGGGACACAATAGTTTGGTGTTTACAGACTTTCACAATATTGATCAGAACTAAACTGCACTGGAAATGTGATTCTCACCCACCAAACTGGAAATATCAAGTAATCCTAGAGAACACTTTCCACCCAGATGAACTGACACCTTCAACTAGCTGAGTTGAAGGCATGGACAAGTACAATTTGCTAAACATATTCAGTTTCTGCCATCTTGAGCTCTTCAACAGATTCCGGATGAAATGAAAGAGACTAGCTGCCTGCAATTCTTCCTTAGGGGGCAAGGGTGGCCTTATCCTTGTTTTCCTTTTCCAGAGATCTGTCTGTCTATGTAAGGAAAGTCAGTAATACCTAAAAGGGGAGTTCTGAAGATTCTGCTTCATTCAAGAATACAATTTTTGATGATCTATTTATTAAAGCCAGTAAGGCTGGCATTATTCTGACAAGTGAGTACTGCCTCTTGCTAGCAGATGTGCCTTTCATTGTACATAAGGCAGCTGCCTTGTACTATCAAAAATATGGCCAACTCATTTCAGTGTGTGAGATTTGCAAGATTTTGGCCCTAACACTAGTCAAACAAAAATAACCCATTAGTGGTGGGGTCACACCTCTGTAATGTGGTTCAGCAGGTTTTGATTAAGTGTCCTGATTAAAGGCAGCCAGTATTTCATTCAGCCATAGTTTTAGGGCTTATCTAAACCTAGTATGATCTCAACCTAGTCAAATGTTTAGTAAACAATTCAGGGTTAAAGGAAATAATTGGTTACATTGATGTGTGAACACAGTTCATGATTGTCATAAAACACACCATTCATATTTAAATGAATATTACTATAAAAACTGCTTTAACTGAAATAGATCCATTCAGGCTATTGATGGAAGCCAAAAATTTTATAGTTTACAAGGGTGGTTTTTCTTACTGATGACAGAGCATGGCTCCCAGTGTCTCTAAATTTTCTTGCTAGATCTTTCAACCAAACTACTTGAAATTGGGCACACTGGAAGTACCAGTTTGAGGGAGTGATTCTTATGGAAGTCAAAACAGCAAAGATTTGAGACCCACGGTTTTTGACTTAGAATTCGGCCTGGAATTGGCTCTCTTGTGTGCAAAACCTGGCCACTGAGCTTGGTTGTTTCTTGAATTTCCTTTGCTGGAAATTCCTCCAAAGAGAAAGGAAAAACCCGCCCATTTCAGTCCCCATCTCCTTTTCTATCTTCCAAGGGCTAGAGACCTGTTAACGGAAAGATTTCGAGCACAGCTTGTGGCTGAAGTCCCATTAAAAGTGCTGGTAGTCTTCATAATCCTTTAATGCTCAATTACTTAGTAATTTAGCACAAAACTAGATAATTATTGCTTGAAACGTCAAACTGAGAACCTCCATAGCCATTTCCCAATCAGCCAGGTCATGGTTGTCCCAAAGATACTTTTCAAAAGGCAACTAGACATTCTTGGGTTTTTCCTTGAAAATGTCTCTCTCTTTATCTAAAAAGGCGAACTGAAGAAGTTTCTTGGGTGAGAAGCAAAACGTTTTCAAGGAAAGAAAAACAAAGTCCAATTAAAAACCACCTTTGGATCAGAATGGAAATACGAAGAGGGGAGGGCAGATGCAAGCAGTTTTAAATCCTTTGAACTGAAAGCATGAAGTTGCGTGGACCCCTTTAACAAAGAGAAACTCGGAGAGCTGCAGCTCATCGATTTTCGGGGGAAAGCATGTATTCTACGTTTGCCAGAAACTGTACATTCCGAGACGCGCAATTCAGGAAAGGAAGGAGCGCTGTTATTCGTTAAAGGTGGCGCATGGAAAGAGCGGTTGAAGAAAAGAGAGCACTTTTATTTCTTCCGCTGCAAAATAGAGAAGCATTCGAGTCAGTTGCTAATAGACTCAAAGTTAGCATAGAGAAAACCCAAGCAGATAAATTAACTCGGTAACCCTTGTACTTTCAAGCAACGCCGTAATTCTAAAACAGGCAGAGCACCAATCCCAGCGAAATTTATGGAAGAGGAATCCATTGGCTGGACTCTAACTCGCGATTAATTCAACTGTCCTTTATTCGCCGCATTTTCTGCGTTTGTAAGATATTTAGCCCTTTGTAACATATCGTAAACATGGTAAAAATAGTGGTGTGTTCATTGGAGATTCAGGGTATTCTGAATTCTTTCCAAATCGCATACACACGATTTCGTTACAATTTAAAGAGCATTTTTCTGTTCTCTTCTTGAAAGCAAGTTGCTGAATTAGGTTGCTAATTCCAATAAGTGTCCAAAGGGTTGCAATTTAAACAATTTGGAATCTAGGACTGAAATTATCTACAACTTTGAAAGTTAGAATGATACCAATATGACTTAATTTTTTTAAAATTATACTAGATATAACACGTTTAACTATCTTAGAAATCGCAAAAAAATATCTTCAAGAAATTGATTTAGGAATAAGAACCTTCTATAAAATGAAGATCCATAAACTTCCTGGTAGCGCAGCAGAAAAATCACATTTTATTTTCTGAAGTTCCTTTCCAGAATATATGTGTTAATCATCCAAAAAGCTTTATTTTGTTTAATGAGGTTATTAAAAATAAAAAGATGTTGAAGAAGCCCTCTAACAATCACTCGTAGCATTTTTTTCCTTAATAAGTGAAAACTATAGTTATTGTACCTTAAATATTACTTCTGAGCATGCGGGATATAATGGCCAAGCAGCTGGTGATGTGGATCCATCAGAAAGACCGAGTATTTACTGACTCATGCAGGTTCATGACATCATATAATGCTTCCTCCCCCAAAAAAGAACCTTCTACATGAGACAATTGAATCCAATTTTTTTTTCATTTGAAGCAAAGTTCTAAACATCAGGAAAAGTTTTCATTTCGATTTGGATAGGAGTTAGGACAGGTTATATTTATAGGAGCTGCAGCTAACTTAACCGTAGCTAACTAAGGAACACTAACTAGGACATCTATAAGACTGAGGCCATTCCCCTCCATAGCTAGCTTTTACAACCTATTCATAGTTGTTCTGTTGGCCTAATATGTGCACTAGTTAGTTCCATAAACGACGAGTAGCATGTGTGTTTGATGCAAAGGGTAGGACAAGGTAGAAAGGAAACTTCTTAGGCGGGATTGGAGCAGTGTTGATTTCCGTGGGAAGAAGATGTATTTTAAATCTTGCCTACGTAATCTCTGGTTTAGAATATTGTAGCATTGCAAGCATTACTGACTGCAAACCCCGGGCCCAGATGCGCTTGCATGAAGAAGATGGTTGCTTAGTCGGTTTGACCGATCCAAAGGGGGCTTATTTCGCAGCAATTCCCAAGTGATAAATGATGGTGGGAAATAGATGGCAGTCTCAAGCGTGGGTGGGGGGTGTCAATTGTAGTTGATTTCCTGCAAAGCGAAAAACCAGCTCAATTGCCCGACTGGGCTGATTCGGGTCCAAAACATTTTGCTCTACGATGCGGTTTCGTTGTAACCAGAGCCGAGCTGAGAGCGCTCCTGTCCTCTGTCCTTCCCCTCCCCTCCCCTTTTCCTCCACGCTGTTGGGATTAGGGAGTCCTGACGTAGCCAGACGCTGATTGGTTAACAGTCGATGGGATCTAGGCGACCAACAAATTAAGGCGGAGAAGCTAGGGGCTGCTCCACAGAGTTGTCTCTAGTGCTCATTGCCGCCAACTCGAACCCATGCTCCGGGTTCAGGGAAAAATTGAGCACCGCATAACCTGCTCGGCTCTCGAGGTTTGTCCTTTCCAGTGCTGCCTTTTCCGCGGGTTGGCTTGGTTCTCCTCCCTTTTGCCTGGGCTGACGCCAGGGCCGGTGCAGGAAAAAGAAGGAGCACTCAGAGGTTAGCGTGGCTAGGTTTTGCGATTTTAGGCACAGCGGTCTCGGAGTCATGGAGTACACCGCGTCACCCAAACCCCAGCTCTCCTCCCGTGCGAATGCCTTCTCCATCGCAGCGCTCATGTCAAGCGGAAACCCCAAAGAGAAAGAAAGTCCCGAGAACACTCTCAAGCCTCTGGGTAAGTTCAGTTTCGGGATTGTCCGGCGTTCGGGAGAAAGTAATATGCGGGGGATTTCTGTGGGATCTAGAGGGGTTGTTTGCATAGGTAGCAAACCTGTGACTCTTAAAGACGATCTTGAATTCGCTCTTATTTGACCTAATGATTGAGAATGATAGGGGATGAAACCGAAGCAGTACACACAATTTAAAATTTCAGATCCCCCTCCCAACAAGCAGAATTTTAACGATATCTATTGATCCTAGCACAATCTTTACTTAAGTAACATCCAAGAGATACAGGAAATCTGTATATGAGGAAAACTGCCCTGCAGTGTGAATTTATTGAATTCACCTGCCCTGGGTTTTAAATTGTACTATTCATATTTCATATTGAAAGGAAGCATTTAAAGGTGACGATGTTTGCTTGAGCTTATTAATTCGAAATAAAGCTTTTACCTTTCAAAACCCAGCCTAATTCCAAAACGGAGAAGGCCTTGCGGGTACCCTTCCTAAGAGTCTAACTGATGGGAAAATAAGCTTTAATTACCTATGCGAGGGACTCCCAAGCCCACAAAATCACCATGCTTCGGCAACCAAAGAAAATGGGGCGAAAAAACAGCTTTCTTTGTCCACCTTATTTGAAACTCCTGCTTTATAAAATTAACCAAAGTTCTGCTCCACTGGGATTTGTCTGCTTTTTAAAGTGCAAGGATCCACACAGCCTCCTAGTATATAATTATTGGGTATTCGATAGAAATGTACAAGGCTACAGTAAGGGGGACATTTCCGCCATAAACGGATATAACGGCACCTATACTTATCTGGAATACTGGTGAGAACGACACTGAAAGTCCCATTTAAATTAGTGGGTCTTTTTTTCCCCAAATATGAGGCACAGGATCAGACCATAATTTGAATAAACAAGATCTGCCCACAATCAGTGCAGTGACAACACGTATCCTTAGTTTCAAGTAGAACCGATTTCCACATCATTGCTGGAACTCTTTGTGTTCTATATTGGTGATAGAGGAACGCAATTACATAGAACTAATCACTGTATTTACTAAAGTTCAGGCAGTGGTTCTAAGATAATTGGACTGATTGCAAACAATGCTGTCTGAATTCAAGGGGATTTTTTTACTTAATAATTCTCGATTGGAGCTTTAAATTTGCCACTTAATTGCCAAATCCTTAAGATTTCCATTTGGAAATGTTTCCATGATTTTTAAGAGAAATTGCTGTCAGTCTTGAAATGGTGTACAAACTTAAGGAAACGAACGTTTAAAAAATGACTGGAAAGCTGAATGAGTTGGCTGTACTTTTCATAAACTTTAATAGATCCCCGCCCCATGGATTTCCTAAAGAAAAGCAAAATTTCCTCCAGTTATTTCCTTTAAACATTTTTCCATAATTTTCTGTTTTGAAAGTTTGCTGACATAGCAGCGTCAATACTTTCTTTAGAGTTGTTCACAAACATTGTTGAGCAAAAAAACAACAACACCAAACGCTTCTCTTTTCTGCTTCGTTAACCGCCTTCCTAACTACTAGAGAAAATAGTGCATTTTAGAAAAATTACACAAATTTTTCAAAGAGAAATAGAAAAAAACTCAAGTCTTATGTTTTATTCATTTAGCGTATGGTAAATACATTGACTTATAGTAGTTCAAATGTTAATGTCCAGTCCACTTGGCCATTTGGTCTATGTTAAAAAAAATCAGACATTGGGCTGGTGTAAGCTCTTGATGGACATTCGGATTTATGTCTTATGTAAAAAAGTGACCATATAAATGAAACATCTATGTGAAAAAACATTCCTTTTTAATTAACTTTAGAGAATTAAAAACATCCCTAAACTAGCTTCCTTATCTTCTTGGAGAGGAAGTTTTGGGAAAGTTTTTTTTTTAGGTTTGAGCTCTAATAAGCATAGGACAGACAGAATATTGTTGTTTTTAACTATAAAAGAGGGCGGTCGCATATCTGTCTCCCCCCCCCCCCCGCTAGGATCCTCAAAATGTGAGTTTCTTCCTTTCATTTCAATTTTCAAAAGAAAAATCAAAGAAATTTCAGAGTCGACTCGCAAATACTCATTAGAGCCAAATTATACAGAGGTGCTTTAAGATCTACTATTAGACTTCATACAGGACGACTGGGAAATGAGCTGGGAGAGAGATGGGGGATATTCTGCTTTATTTGTTAAGCGCAAGTATTGTCGAAGTCGATGTGACGGACTGTATCCCGTCCCTGTTGATCTCTATGTACGAAGTCCTTTTGTTTTTAGCTGCAAGCTTCTGCTCATTGAAAGTATTAGGTTCCACATTGTTGTGTTTTCCCTATTTCCAAATCTGGAAACAGCCAAAACACACACACACACACACACACACACACACACACCATTTACATCAATGGGACGCTCACTTGGATCCATCCAAGCTTCTTCTATTCTGTTAAGCCAAATAGACCTTCCAGGCTTTGCCACATTTATTTGATGGGCATGAAGTAAGTTATTAGCCACATTTCTCTAAAGGGCAACAAGGGATTTCTGTCCTTTAGATCTGAGCAAAGTGGTTCAGTGGTCTGATCCAATTCCTTCTATTATCAGAAAGTCTGCTGAATATCTTCTAGGCGGCAGATCCCCGCAGATACTGACCTAATGCTGCTAGATTTTATTTAAATTTACAATTGCTTGAATTCCGTGTGGAAGTTTTCTAGTGTAACTTCTGCTTTTCAGATTCCACTGCGGTCTAAATCAAAAAAGATTTGTAATTAAGGCCGAGGTATAGGCTTTAGATCAGGAAGGTTCTATTGTTGTCCGGGTTAGAAGTGGGACCGGGGCTTAAGTGTTAAGTGAACAATTATTTTCAGACAGGTTAGTCCGGCAGAGTTCCAAAAAATCAATTCCTTTATTACCATTAATTTCTTGGACATGAGAATTATTTTTTGTTCTTGGTAAATAACAGTATGAAAGGAATATAATTTCATACTGGATTGATTCAGACCCGCCAATTTCAGGTGATCAAAAGTAGGCGAATTCAGCTTTTACGTGGACTTGGCCAATAAAGTGAATTTCAAACAGCTGGAATTATTGTGAGCGATTTATTCCTCAAGAGCCCGGTCCTGGAGAGTAAACATCGAAAAAGTCCGAAGCGATTGGGATTGTCTTCAGTCTTAGGGATCCCAGAAAAATCAGTCGGTCTTCGTTAGTCATTGTCTGCTTAATCGATGTGCCAATTCTCTAGAAGCCCTTTATAGCGGGCCTAATATTTTGCAGGCAGTAGATATTTCCAAGCTGCTGTCTGGTATGCATCTACTCAGGAAAAAGTCACTTCAGCTAAATTTGTAGAGTGCTGAAAGCTTTGTGATTTCTAGCGTCACCCAACCATTGCAACCAGCTGAAGTTGTAAATCACTCATGAGAAAATGCACATTTCATTCATTTGTTTCTCTGATTCCCAAGATTTAGAAACCAACACATCTCATCTAATGTGTTTAGGCGAGGTGGATCCCATTAGTCCAGGAGCCACTCCCCCTCCCTTCTCCTGCAACGTCCTTGGAGAGATTGGGAGAGATTTCTAGTTTTAAAGTGGCATTCACCTGACGACTAGATGGTTTCTGGGAGCTTTGACTTAGGTGGACTGCCTTGTATCTTGACAATTGTTGAATTGACCGTGTTTTTTGGCTCTCCCCACTCCACCACCACACCTAGTAAACCATCTCCCTAATTCCTTTTCTATTTTCTATTTTTGTCTTTTAATTGCCTGCTGTTCAGGGAGCTCAAGGTTGTCTCTGTTTCCTTTTTATCTTGACAATTCTGAAAGATTGAGCTAAACACTTCTAGGTCAGTTTGTGGTAGAAACCAGGATCTGAATCTGGTTTTTTTTAGACTTGATCCTCCACTTTAACCACTATTTTATGCAGCCTCCTCTTCCTAATGAAGGGAAAGTCAGATCAGAGTAAAATAAAGGTTTCAAGAGTTCATTTTGACGGAAAGGTTGTGTGTCTGCAATTATTTTGTACAAGGCTCATCTATATTAATTCTAGATTTTTCTTTAACAACTCAAAGTACTGGGCAAGGTTTTCCATTCTCCTTTTCTTCTAACAATCTTGCAAGCAGATTTGTGTGAAGTCAGCAGCTAGCGGGTTGTATAAACTTACCTGCCTTGATTCATTTATAATTGAGCAGTGTTTCCAGAAAACTGGAATAAAGTGAATCAAATATGGTTAAGTTATCAGTGAGTAAGCCTCTTCTACAAGCAGCCACTTTTGGAGGGAAGTGGCCACATATTTAACACTGCAGTCTGCATCAGACATTGGAATTAAATGTCATTGTGTTCACTGATCTCTAGAAAATGTGTTTAAAATGAATAAATATACCTCTGAAATCTAAAGGTTGTTAAAGTTGGGCCTGGTGAAAGGGCTGTCTCTGTCCTGTAAAACCATCTGCTGAATAAACCAGATTTGTAACATATATCCAATAGGTTTCTTAAAGATAACCCCCAATTAAATGAATGAGACTTCTGACCAAGGTTCTGGGAATTCCCACAATATTATTTAGCACCAGCTAAATTATGGATCAGTGATGACTTATTTTCACTTATCAGTTGTTTCCCACAAAAGAAGTGGCTGCACAATGCAATTAGCTATGGGTGATCGAAAATTCTTCTGGGCAATTCAATAAAGAATTGAAATTAAAGACATATAACAGCCACCCTCCCTGTTGGAATGATTCTGACCTCCCAATTTTTTGTGAGATGCTCAAATCGCTCTAGAATTTTGTTACTGAATGCTGACCCAAGTAAATGCTCCTCTGTTTAACTAGCAGGTACCTCTATAAGTAAACTGGATATAGTAGCTGCTCTGATAGTCTAGCTTTCTCTATGCAAGGATAAAAATCAACTAGTGATTGCATACACCCATGAACGCTTCTAACTAAACAGTTAGTTCCTGGATTTTCTGCTAGATTTTGCTTTTGAACTTTTCAACGGGAGGGTGGGGATAGAGATCATCACGAATTCTTCTATTCACTGGCATTGACGCTTTGTCACTCATGGGAATAATGTAAATTGGTCTGTTCTGGAGAAATGGGCAGAATTATTTATAACTGATTATAAATGCAAATATATTTGGAGAATAGGCTCATTTTTTTAAATAAAAAACTTGCAGAATCAACAAGATTGAAAAACAGAAGCAGAACCCCATTAGATGACATCTTTCTTTCTTTTTCTCCCTTTCCTACCCCTTTCCCACCTGTTGATTCCCAATGTAAGAAGAAAGCTGTGCTAGGGAAAAAATATCAGGAGTCTGGCTTTTCTGACTAACAATTTTTATTAAAAACCAAGTTCACAAAAGCTGCTGGGATTATCAGACATTGGAGCAAATTGATTGCATAAAATTAATCAGTCCGGGACCTTTTGTTTCATTTCCTGGAGAAAGTTAATATATCAGCTACTTGCAGCCATCCTACACACAAAACCATGGTGGATCTTCTTACCAGTGTCTTGCTTTTCTTTTTGTCCTCTTTTCAGAGAAATTCGTGGAGAAATCATCTTGTCCTCAGCCTCTGAGTGATTTGCCAAATGTGGACACCCAAGGGGATTTCAGCAGCAATAGCAGCCCTTCCTCTCTCTGCACAGAACCACTAATCCCCACCACCTCAGTTATCCCTAGTGAGGAGATGGCTAAGATCTCCTGCAATTTGGAAACCAAAGAGCTTTGGGACAAATTCCATGAACTAGGGACTGAGATGATAATCACAAAATCAGGAAGGTAAGACTGGAATATTGCTTGGCAGGGTTTGGAATCTTACCCACAGCTGCTACTTTCAGATGTGCGAAAATTTTCTAGAATTATCCAGCAAAAGTGACAATTGTTGGGATTTCTGGAATTTATAGTTTTAGTATAGTTTCAGCTAGGTCAGGCTAATATACAATAAACATTGTGCAGTTCAATTCTCTATTTGCCCTGACACCTTAGTGCTGCCCCAGAGCTATGATTCTCTCCCTTGCTCCTAGCATTGTTGTTGTTGAAGAGCAATGCTGTTCATAATTAGGCATCTGATAGTATTGAGCAGTTCAAATGTTTTTATAATAACCTTTGTCTGTATGCTGCATGGATTTGAAGCAGTAAAAATATAGGAAAAAATACATTTAAAAAAAAGCATTATTATTTAGTTCCCAGGGGCAGCATACTCAGATATGTACCATGGAAAGCACCACCAGGCACATGGCTACAGGAAGTCAGCTTTGAGTGGAGTTTTAATGAAAAGTGGATTGACTTGACTTTATGAAAGAAAACATTTGCTGAGTTAGTTTAAAAGGGGTAAATTGTCTATGAACAAGCCTGGAAGGGAAGCCAGCGATGTATCCTTCTCATTATTTAAACATCCAGTCTGTGCTAGAAATCTTGTCAGACTAAAGTAGTGCTGACTTGTTCACTGTGTCAGTGCTTTAATATACCACAGAACTGAGTGACACACAGCCGAATGGATAATTACCACCACAGAAAAGTGTTGCATATGAAGTGTCAGATAACATGGTAGGGGGTTTGGGGGGGTCTGTTTTTGATCTGTGATGGCTGTTTCACACAAGCACTAATAGTTGATGTCAAACTCACAGCGATAAATATACATTGGACATTTGCCCTTATAACCCACAGCAGACTCTGAAAAGTTACTATCTCTCATTAATGTATGATGTAATCCATCAGATATTGTCTTCCATTACTATGTTTCAATTTGAGGAGATATACCACATTGGTATATTAATATGTATTAGAAATCTTCAGATGAATTTTTATTTGGGGTAAAATAAAAATAAGACATTTGAACTAGAAAAGTATGTTTCAGTGAAAGCATTAGAGTGACTAATGCAGAGGTGGGTTGCTGCCGGTTTAGCCCAGATCGGGCAAACCTGTTGTAGCAGCAGCGGGAGACTCCACCCACCCACCCAGATGCTTTTGCATATGCATGCACACATCCACAAGTAAGCCGGTAGTAAAAATAATAGAAACCCACCATTGGATTAAAGTGGAAATCTTTGTAAAACAAGCCATAATTTTAATGGAACAAATCTAATTTATGAATTAGATTGAACCCTTGTAAAATGAGGAAGGTGATATAAAGAGAATTCTACCAGAAGCAATTTCCAGAAAAGTAACTATTTTTAGTTTCTTGCAATCAAAACAACAAAGAGAATTGAGACAATTTTGAAGATCAAAACAGCCATCCCAGACCTTAGATATATAAACCAGTTCACTTAGCCCCAACTGGTGAGTTGATAGTAACAACCTGTTGCTTATAGATTAAATAAATATGTTATCTGTGAATGATAGGAATTCAATACACACTGTATTTACAACTAGGAAAGTAAAGCCAGTATTACCCTTTGGAAAAATTAATTCATCAGAGTCTAGAAGCTTTTCTACACTGCACAGAATCATATCCAAAATGTTCATTAAATATTGGTGCATACCAGAGACTCTCAACATTATTTCTACTATGCCATTATTTTTGTTATTCCCCCCCCCCACCTACACTCCAATCTGCACATACATGGAAGAGTTATGACATTGTTTAGGCCAAAATGTATAAATTATAAAGGGAATGATCAAATGTTCATTTTGTTAGATTATTTTCTTATTTTTGCTGTTAGCATTTGCTTCATATAGGAGTCCCATCCGAAGCTAAAATAAATTTGCTGGGCAGTTTAAAGTATTTGTTTATTTCTCACTGGATTGTCTGCCTCAGCTTACTCTGTAACCCTGCTGAGTAATTAAATACTACTCATGGTCTTAAATATGATGGTAAAAACTATTACAGTATAGTGACCTTCGAGAAAAACCAATCAAACAACCCTGTCTAAATTAGAGGATGGTATGGGAGAATATTTTGAATCTTGGCTCTGTTATTTTCATGCTGATTTACGGTGCAGTCATCCTTGCAAATCAATGATACTGACCAAAGAAAGGCTATTGAAGTATTTTACCTGATCTTATTAATACTCCATTATGGGAACTCCATGGGTTTAGAATAATAATTTAATAATAATTAATTATTTCCTTGTCATTTTATTCTCACAATGATCCTTTTATAAGACAGTTTCCTGATGTTTAATACTGGTAGGGAAAAACTATTGAAAACTGTTTTAAAAAACATTTATACTGGTTATTAAGCCACACCAAATTAAAGGTATAAATTAGATGCAGATGGAAAATATTTACTTGTTTAAAAAAAACCTGGGAGACATTTGAACTTTTCTTGTAAAATATTATATTCAAACGTAACCTTGGTCGCAAGTTGTTTGAGAAAAATGCACCAATTTTTAGATACTAATTATCAATCTTCTTCACAGAAATGTTTGGCAGACATTTTTCTTTTGGACTGCAAGAGTTGTAGTTGGCACTGCCAGTATAAAGGCATAATTCATAATAGATGTAAGAACTCAAGGAAGCCTAAAAATTAATGAAAAGGAAGATAAAGAAATGGGGTATATTGAATCATTAACATAATTGGATGATTGTTATGACATAAGCTTTAATAGTTTGGATTCTACTTCATCAATGCCCTGAGTGATGCAGTGTATGGAATAGAGAAGTATATTTAGTGACATCAAGTTGGAAGTAAATAAAATGAAACCATTGCAGACATAGGTAGTTAGGTAAAGATAAAGGATTCCTTGTCCAGTCATGTCCAACTCTAGGGCATGGTGCTCATCTCCATTTCTTGATCAAGGCAGCCCGTGTTGTCTGAAGACATTTTCCATGGTCACGTGGCTAGCCTGGCTGTACAGAATGCTGTTACCTTCCCACTAAAATGGTACTTATTAATCTATTGGCATTTTATGTATGTGCATGTTTTAAAACTGTTAGGTGGCAGGAGCTGATAATTACCAGTAACTGGTAATTGGTAACTGAATTGTTGCACAATAGATGTATGAAATTCAGATAATTTTTTTCAAAATTTGCATCTCTAAAGTTGGAATATGGCACTTTTTCAGCAATTCAAAACATTCAGCAAATGCTGGAATATTTTAAAAAATAGCAGACCAAAATACACACCAAGAAGGAGCTTCCCCTCTGTAATTATTGGAAAATTAGCAAAATATAAATCAAAACCAGTTAATCAGATCAATAAAAACTTATTTTGCTTCCACTTTCCTGTTTGAATTCAGCTGTTCAGGCATATTAAATGTATAATTTTCTTCAACATTGAAACATTTTTAAAATGCCTATTGCAAGTTTGTTGACTCTCCTCCACCTCTTGAAAATTTTCCTTTTATTTCTGAAGATAATGAGTTACTGGCACCAGATTATTTCTCATATATGTGCAGTACACAGAAAATAATTATTTGCTTCAGATATTATAGAAGCTTAAATGGCTAATACTTCTGCAATTTATCCAAGGTCAAGAGTTACAAATATTTCTATATTGAAAAATTAGATGTGTAGGAAAATGCATCTGATGGCAGTGTTAGCTTCTATGCCCATAAGCTGCCTCTCTGGTGCCAGTAACTAATTATCTTCAGAAATAAAAGGAAATTTTTCAAGAAGTGGAGGAGAGTCAACAAACTTGCAATAGGCATTTTAAAAATGTTTCAATGTTGTGTTTCCACAGTCTCTATTCAGTTGATTACTACAGTATATTATTCCTCTTTAGAAAATGGGTGTAATTCTTGAGAATCTCCATTGCCTTCTGAGATACTTACCTGCCTCCCTTCCTTTTGTGAAATTAGTATGCCAGGTAGGGCTAGAAGGGAGAAAGGCAGACTTATGTATTAATTATAACACAGTCTGAGCCCGTTGTCCTTATAATGAATAAGGTGAAATGGCTTATTTTAAAAATCCCCAGTGCACAAAGATTACATTCTCTCTCTCTCTCTCTCCTTCCCTCCCTCCCTCCCTCCCTCCCTCCCTCCCTCTCCCTCTCTCCCTCCCTCTCCCTTTTTCCTTCTCATGCTGCAATGCCATTTTTTTTTCTTAAATCAGTTGTGAGGGATTATTCTCTTTACAAATTGTTTTTCTCATTTCCTTCTTTCTGTTTCAGAAGAATGTTTCCAACCATTAGGGTTTCCTTTTCTGGTGTGGATCCAGAAGCCAAGTTCATTGTGCTCATGGATATAGTTCCAGTGGACAATAAGAGATACAGATATGCCTACCATAGATCTTCCTGGCTGGTTGCTGGCAAAGCAGACCCCCCTCTGCCTGCAAGGTTAGTTCACCTGAAAATAATGTACTTGCAAGCAGCCACTTGTGCACACATACACAATTCTGTTAATATTTAGTTGGTTTCAAAAAAATTACATCAGGAGCTGAATAAGCAAAAAAAGAGTGCTTATGGATACAAACTTTCTTTCTACTGACTCAGAAGCAGTATATATTTTCTGTACTCTTCATTTAAATGCTTACAATTTCTAGGCATAAATTAATTAGTAACAAAAGGCCTATGTCTAATATGCAAAGTCATGTAACTTTTTTTTAAACTATTCGGTCCTTTTCTTAATATTTTTGTTGTATTAAAATAAGTGACTTATTTTTCAGGAAGAAAAATAATGCTGTTCTTTTTTTAGATATCTTTCAGATCACACATTTTATTTATCCTTTTCTGTTATTTTTTAGACTCAACTGATAAGCACAACTGAGAGGTTGTTACTTATATCCATTTATTATAGAATAACCTTTATTGAACAAGGCAGGTTCCATTGTGGAGAAAATTGCAAGGAACAAAATGTATTTCACAAATATTGAAATCTTAAGAAACTGTTAACTTCCAGTCTTTGAAGTTGCATTTATTATAGGTTCCATCGTAACCATTTCAGAAAGTTTTTTTTCTCTTATGTATGCTTTGGGAGAAAAAAATCTTTGACATAATGCTTTTGGATTATCCTCTGATTGCATTAGCCTTGATCATTTTTAGTGTGATGTGTTTGTCCGTTTTCAAATTTGAGCTTATTGCAGATTAAACTAAAAATCTCAATGGCGTAAATTGAAAGAATAAGTTAGACTTTAGTATTAAGACTTGGCAGTTTTGAATTTGCCTGTTCATGATCATCATCTGTGTTCTGAAACTTTGGTTCTAAAGCTCTTACTTCCAAATGTTTTTTTGAAACAGTAGTGATTGTGGTTTTCAAGTTGGTGAAATTAAATTCATTGGTTAATGTCGGGAGGACTTATATATTCATTTCTTCTATAATGGGCACTCAGAAAGAAAGAAAAAGTCACCAATGTAGGTACGCTTTGGTGACATTCATACCCTTGAACATTCTCTGCAACATCTACACAGAAATAACTTTCAGAACTACAATTGCAAACTTTGTAATGGATAAGGATTATCCAGCATCATTTGAAAGCATTCTCATTCATAATGCTTCATCACAGATGACAATTAAATCCTTCTTTTCCTGCTGTCAACATGTGAAACAACTTTGTAGGTACAGTATGCTGTGCAGGCAGGAGGTTAAAATTCCTTCAGGGAAAACACATCTATTGTGAGTCATTGTTTAAATAGCTCTACTAACCCAACCAAAAGTCTGAAAGAGGTATCATGAGTTCTAGCTTGCTGATATCTCTTCTATCTTTTCTGAGTTTTTGTGTTATAGCGTGAATGTAAGTTCAGAGTGTTTACTTTTTCCTTGAATGAAGAAAACAATCCTTTGCTCTTTTCAATCCATGATAAAAGTGCTGTACAAATTGTGTAATTGTTCTAACAAACAATTACTAGTCAATGGGAGTGGGTGGGGAGGAGAACAGTCACTATACCTTACTCTACTTCTTGTTTATGTACTGACTATACAGGTAGTCCTGACTTACAACAATTGAGTCCAAAATTTCCATTGCTAAGCAAGTCAATTTTTAAGTAAGTTGTGCCTCATTTTACAACTTTTTTGCCATGGTTATTATGTGAATAACTGAAGTTAAGTGAATCATGCGGTTGTTAAGCAAATCTAGCTCCCCCCATTGACTTTGCTTGTCAGAAGCTCCCTAAGAATGTTGCAAATGATAGTTCCAGGACCTTGAGATGCTGCAATTTTGTAAATACATGGTGGTTACCAAGAGCTAGAATTTGATAACATGACCGTGGGAATGCTGCAAGAGTCATAAATGTAAAGAGTGGTCATAGGTCACTTTTTTCAGTGCTGTTGTAACTTGAATGGTCATTAAATGAATGATTGTAAGAGAACTACCTGTATTGCTTATGGTTCTTGCTAGCTCAACACCCACCCTGCCATTTATATCTAGCTTTTCTTCCAATAAATGCAAGACCACAATCATGGTTAAGCCCAATTTGATCTTCATAAAAACCTATATGGACTGGAGCAAAAATAAATGTTATAGGCTAAGTTTTGCCTTTTTCCAATGCTTCACTCATGCTTCTTCAACCTATTTTTCCAAGGGTGACTATAGTTCATAATTGGAAGGCATCTGGAGAAGGCCACTGCACCTCAAATGGAAAATGCTTATTTGACCTATGTGTTGTTATTTCAAGCTCTGATTAGAATAGCTTCAGGGACAGAGAAACAGTGTAGTCTACTTGGACAAAAAGATAGCAGAGACCACACTTCATATACGGAAACATTAAGCATTCTCGAAGAGATAAAAATATGTCTGAGCCTTTCTAAAGGCCCAGAGAATAATAGCCTTAAATAGAAACATTTATTTGTGATGAGACCAATAGATGAAGTATTTGGTGGGTCTGCTTTATGTTGGTCATATTTATTTAGAATTTCCTGTTGATTTCAGTGGAATCCACTGGAGGTTGCTGTTCTGCAGTTTGGTTTCATCAACAATGTGCTTGTAAAAAGTCATGCTGTGTCCTTATTCATATAGGGATATGGATATAGAATTTTTCCAGAGCAAATATACCTTAAGATATCAAAACTATGCAAGTACGAAATATTATATTCTTTTACTTCATGAACCCTATTGCAATTTATATTATTTCTTCTGACTGAAAAAAATGCTTTATGCCAGAAAAGCCATTTTTAAATCAGGATCATAAAAAACAATGGTATTTGGCTTCATAATATTTTTATGAATAAAACGCATTGATGTTTTACTGTAGATGTTTTACTTTATGTAGGCTTTTAATCAATATTTTTAAATGCAAAGTGCCAAAAGTCCATTGTGAATCTGGTATATCAATCACTGCTCAGATTGTTGGTAAAAGAAGTCTTCTTGGATTATTTAATATGAAATTATCCTACTATCATTTTATGAGATTGATATACTGTATGAAAGGCCGGAAAATCTATGTCTTAATAATCAAATTAATGTGGAAAATAAAGTAGGATCATAACACAGTCAGATAACTGATTGCTAGAGTTTAGTGGTAGATTTATGTAGATTGCTAGATTTCCAGATTTACGTATAATGGAAATCTTTCCTGGAGTTTTACTGAGTTTCCTGAAGTCATCTTTGGCATCTTGAGCATAAAAAGAATGTGCTTTAATACTGAGAGATGGTTGTAATCCTGATTGGAAATATGTTGGAGGGAAATATCTTTGATTTCATCAAACACAGGTAACTTTTCCACTTTCTAAACTATAATATCAGCATACTGTTATTTAAGATTTATCTTTTTGAATCTCCATTCACCCCCCTCCTGCTGCAATTCCAAGTATGAAACTAGTATTTCCTATCCAGTTTAGACAAACCGTCACTTGAAATTGTTAAAGGACTAGGGAAGATGTGTCGCCATGGAAAAGAATAAGAAAAAATAATATTCAGAATGGAAAAACCCAGATAATTATTTTTCAGAAAACTAAGTTTCTAATAATAATAAAAAATTGTTTGGTGGAAATATCTTGCAAAATTTTATGACTGAATCTTTTTCTCTACTTCTAACAAGTTTTTCATCTAAAACTAAGTATCATTTAGATTTATATCTGTTCTTTGGCTATTTTTTCTCCTTTTATGTGGGTTTAAGAGAAGTGTCTAAAAATAGTTCGCCAAACTGAATTAAAGTTTTGAGAATGATGCCTACTAGTTTAAGTGCTCATATTTTATGGAAAGCATCTATCTATCTATCTATCTATCTATCTATCTATCTATCTATCTATCTATCTATCTATCTATCTATCTATCTATCTATCTATCTATTATCTGTCTGCCTGCCTGTCTCTCTCTGTCTCTCTTTCTGCTTGCTGGGCCTTGATGAACTTTGTTGTTTGACTTTCCAGGCTATATGTGCATCCAGATTCTCCATTTACTGGGGAACAATTGCTGAAGCAGATGATATCCTTTGAAAAAGTGAAACTCACAAACAATGAGCTGGATCAGCATGGTCATGTGAGTACTTGGTCCTGTGAGAAGGGAAAACAATACTCCACCCTCAGGTTCTTTCTCCTGTACCTGTTGAAAATGCCCAAAAAACAATAGTTGTTTCTATGATTATTAAGTAAACTTTAAAAACTGTGAAATTTCATGGAGAGGAGGAGATGGGGCATGTAACAATATCTTTATCACAGATGATATTTTAGCATTTATTCTTCTGTTCTGAAAACCCATTTTTAGTCATCTGTAACAGCTAACTGTTAATTATTTAAGAATTTCTGTCCTGAAAAATTTTCCCTACCTTCTTTTTGTCTGATGTGTTTTGAAGAGCAATAAAACAAGTCTAAATGTTGGAATCTGCAATTATGCAAAACCTGATAATGTAACCTGCATTTAGTCCACTCTTTTGGGTGACCAAAGCAGGAAAGTATTAGATGTCTAGGGATATTGTTATATCATAATATTACATAATAATATAATATCAGTTTAATGAAACTACACCATAGTTGTCTTCAGTTCTGCCATATATTAGAGCAAGTTTCTCAGCATGCCATATGTCACATAGCCAAAAACCTTTTGCATCCCTGATGTAAAATATCAAATATTTAAATTTAGGATAAATACTGTATGTCTGGCTATATAAAGACTGAATGTGAAGAAATGTAAATTGCCTTGTTATTTATTTAAATGTGAATTTAAGTATAAATAATATTACCCTTTGTTTTGAAGTTATCTGGCACCAGTACCTTTGAGATTTCCAAAACCCTCCTGGGAATCTGATTGAGTGACAAAAACTAAGGAAGAAAATGATGTTGGCTTTTATCTGCCTTCATTTTAAAACCTTTAGCATCCTTCCTCTTACTAAATCTCATAAAGTGGAATTAATTTGTGGCAATTGGTGTACATTAGAAGTGAGACTAGAACTAAGACCAGGACCAAAATGATTTATTGTTTCTTCTGATACTAGCCAAGAATCTGGCATATCTTTTTTGTCCTCTTTACGTATAACAGTTTTTATGGATAAGACAATACAATTTGCTGACTGAAAATTATTCTGATTGTGTTTTCTCTCCTTTTATTCTCTCTAGATAATTTTGAATTCAATGCACAAATATCAACCTAGAGTGCATATCATCAAAAAGAAGGATCACACAGCCTCCTTGCTTAATTTGAAATCTGAAGAATTCAGGACATTTATATTCCCAGAGACAGTGTTTACAGCTGTCACTGCCTACCAAAACCAACTGGTGAGTATTTTCACCCAATTCACTAACTATTGTAAAGTGACCAGATTTTAAGATGGGTAAAGTGGGGCACCATTGATGGGGGGGGGGGCTTGGAGCACCTGAGCTATAAAAAAAAGCCTTCCCACGATTGCCTTCCCCCAACGCCCCCCAACCCTTTCAAAAGCCACCCCCATCGCCAGCCTCTCCCAACTGGATTCCGCCTGCTTCCCCTTGGCTCACCCGGATCAGGTTGCTGATGGTGGCTTGCACTGCATGGTTGCAGGGAGAGCGGCGCCCAAGAGAAGCGGGCAAAAAAAAACTTCTTTTTTTTTTTTTTT